GGGCGGCGGGCGCTGAAAGCCGAGCGGGGCCGGGAGGGCGGAGGGGCGGGGAGGTCGCGGCACTTCCCGGGAGGTAATTTGGGAGATATTAGCCCGGCGCGTGCGGATGGAGCCGATAAGGGATGACGGACACGGAACACCCGGAGCGGGGCAGCCTCGCGGGGATGAACCGGGACGAACCGGGACGAACCGGGACCGGGAATTTCCCCTCGGGATGTCGAGGGGAGAGCGATGGGATTTGGGAGCACATGGCGAGGATGGGGCGGGAGATCTGGGGAAGCGCTTCCCACCCCCGGGGGAATTGCTGGACCTTGGCAGTGCTGGCAAAGGGGGGAAGGGGGAAATCCCCTCGAATTTTCTTTTTTTGAAATCCTTTTGTCGCGGAAAACCTTCTGAAACTGCAACACAGCCCCGCCCCAGCTCTGGGGGGGAAATAAAAAAGAAAAGAAGTGGATATGAAAAGTACTTTAAGAGTTCTGCAATAGATGTAGATGTAAAAATAGATATTAAATGTGTTTAGATGTAAAATATATGTAGATGTAAAAGGAGGTATAAAGCGTATTTAAATAGATAAAAATAGGTGTGTATTGAGCTACAGAATAGATACAAAATTATTTAAAGAGATATAAAAGACATAAAATGTCTTTATGTATAAAATGGATATAAAATGTGCAGAAGTAAAGAATAGATATGAAACGCATTTAAAACAATGTAAAATAGAAACCAGTGTTTTTAAATGGATGCAAAATAGAAACCAGTGTGTTAAATTGATATAAAATAGATGCATGATGATTTAAATCGATATAAAATTGATATGATTTAAATCAGTATAGGCTTGTGATGACTTAAATCAATGTAAAATAGCTAAACAGCGTATTCAAATTAACATAAAACATATATGATGATTCAAATTGATATAGACGTGATGATTTAAATTGACGTAAAACAGCAAAACAATGCACTTAAACAGATCTAAAACGCATTTAAACGAACACAGAAGAGACACGAGACGTTTAGATGGATGTAAAACAGATAGAAAATGTATTTACACAGACCCACTTTAGCAGCTCTGCCCTGGCTGGCTCTGATGACTGATCCCCCGCTCTGTTCCGCAGACCCCGCCGTGATTTCCCCGCAGGACCCCACGCTGCTGATCGGCTCCTCGCTGGTGGCGACGTGCACGGTGAGCCCGGGGGTCCCGCTGCGGGCCCAGGACCTGTACTGGACCCTGAACGGGCGGCGCCTCCCGCACGCCTCCTACGCCGCGCTGGGCCCCGCCACGCTCAGCGTGGCCCTGGCGCGCCTCAACGGCTCCCGCCAGCAGTCGGGGGACAACCTGGTGTGCCACAGCCGCGACGGCAGCATCCTGGCCGGCTCCTGCCTCTACGTTGGATGTACGTGGGGGCCGCCGCGCCGCGCCGGGCTCTGGTCACTCTGCTGGGCTGTGGTCACTGTAATGGGGTCTGGTCACTGCAATGGGCTGTGGTCACTCTGCATTGGGGTCTGGTCACTGTAATGGGCTGTGGTCACTGTGTTGGGGTCTGGTCACTGTAAAGGGCTGTGGTCACTCTGCACTGGGCTGTGGTCACTGTAATGGGCTGTGGTCACTCTGCATTGGGCTGTGGTCACTGTAATGGGCTCTGGTCACTCTGCTGGGCTGTGGTCACTGTAATGGGCTGTGGTCTCTCTGCATTGGGGTCTGGTCACTCTGCTGGGCTGTGGTCACTCTGTGCCAGGGTCTGGTCACTGTGATGGGTCTGGTCACTCTGCTGGGCTGTGGTCACTCTCTGCCAGGGTCTGGCCACTCTGTGCCAGGGTCTGGTCACTCTGCATTGGGGTCTGGTCACTCTGCTGGGGTCTGGCCTCACTGAATTGGGGTGTGGTCACTCTGTATTGGGGTCTGGTCACTCTGTGCTGGGGTCTGGTCACTCTGCTGGGTCTGGCCACCTTATGCTGGGTTCTGGCCACCCTGTGCCAGGGTCTGGCTGCTCCAGGCCAGGGTGCAGCTGGTGCTGGGGTCCAGCCACTCTGCACCGGGGTCTGGCCAGCCCCGGGATGTGCCTCCCCCGTGGGAGAGAAGCCGGGGATCCCCACGGAGGATTCCGCATCCTGGCTCTCACCAGAGCGTGCCAGGAGCTGCTCTGGTGGAGCCCTGACCCCCACGCAGCTGAGAGGCTGTTTCGGCAAAGCCTCGGTTAAAACACGCTTGTCCGAACCAATAATCGTAAGATTTTATCTCGGGCTATTTTAAGGACGATGCCACGTCCCAGGAATATGGAATCGGAACGGGGAACGCAGCCTGGGTTTGTTTTTTGGGTCGCTACGCATTCCCGGGAATACAGAGGCTCAGCAGGGAATGCAGCTTGGATTTGGGGTCTGTGTCTCCGTGGCTGGAATAAAACAGCTCTGGAACCTCTTGTTCTTTGGCTTTTGTCTCTCCAGTGCCCCCAGAAAAACCAGTCAACATCACTTGCTGGTCCAAAAACATGAAGGACCTGACCTGCAAGTGGGCGCCAGGGACAGAAGGGGAGACCTTCCTGCACACCAACTACACCCTCAAGTACAAGCGCAGGTGGGTGCCCACCTTCATCCCCGGTGCTGTTAGAGATGTTGGAGTGGGATTTAATGGGAAACAGGGAACGGAGAGCTCGATGCCTCCTGGCTGGGCCCTGCTCGGGGGAGGTGCTGCCGGATGAGTTTCCTCGTGGAGCTGGGGAGAATCAGGAGAAGCTGCTGTGGGCCTGGTTGAGTTGGGAACCCCTGAGTGAAGCACGGGGCTGGTCCCCCAATTCTGGCGGCGTGGAACGGCCAAAAAGCGACCCACGGGAGCGTCCCGGGGGTGAGGGAGCGGTGCCAGTACCATCCATCGCTGCCCGCAGGTGGTACGGCCAGGACAACACCTGCCAGGAATACCACACGGCCGGAACCTACTCCTGCCACATCCCCAAGGACCTGGCCCTCTTCACGCCCTACGAGATCTGGGTGGAGGCCTCCAACCGCCTGGGGGTGGCCGTGTCCGACGTGGTCATGCTGGACATCCTGGACGTGGGTGAGCCACGCCACCGCCGCGGTGTCACCGCGGTGTCACCGCGTGCCGGCGCCGTGCCGGTGACCCGGCGGGGAGCGCCCGCGCCGGGCTGGGGCGGGGGGCAGCAGGAAATGGGCGATATGTGAGCAGAATTGCTCCTAATCGAATTAGGCTGTTTGCTCCGAGCTTTTCCATCCGCGGCTCCTTAACCCTCGCGGCCCCGCGGCGCTGCCCCTGTCCCCGCAGTCACCACGGACCCGCCGTCGGACGTGCACGTCAGCAGGGTGGGCGACCTGGAGGACCAGCTGAGCGTCCGCTGGAGCTCCCCGCCGGCCCTCAAGGATTTCCTCTTCCAAGCCAAGTACCAGATCCAATACCGGGTGGAGGACAGCTCCGAGTGGAAGGTGGGTGGGCACCGGGGGACAGCGCGGGGCGCCCACGAGGGTGCGGGCGCTGCCATCTCCTCCCTCGGCAGGTGGTGGATGATGTGGGCAACCAGACCTCCTGCCGCCTGGCCGGCCTGCGCCCCGGCACCGTCTACTTCGTCCAGGTGCGCTGCAACCCCTTCAGCATCTACGGCTCCAAGAAGGCCGGGATCTGGAGCGACTGGAGCAACCCCACGGCCGCCTCCACCCCGCGCAGCGGTGAGTGCCGCCGGCAGTGCCCGCCGGTGCCGCTGGTGCCGCCGGTGCCGTGCCCCGCTCGATGCGCAGGGTCCCTTCCCTGCAGGCTGCCCGGCACCTGGATTTCTGGCAAAGGGGCCAATTTGGAGCTCGGCTTTCCCCTTTCTCCCCTTTGGGAGCCAAAACCCGCTCGTGTTGCTCTCGGCCCTCCTCACTCACGGCACAGCGGCCATGGGGGGGTTGAGGCGCGGCCCCCCATGTGCCACTGACCCCCTTGTCCCCGCAGAGCGAGTGGCGGGGGGCTGCGACCCCAAGGGGGGGGAGCAGAACACGACGCTGCGGCGGGAGCTGAAGCAGTTCTTCGGGTGGGTGAAGAAACACGCCTACGGCTGCTCCAACCTCGGCATCAAACTCTACGACCAGTGGCGCGTGTGGCTGCAGAAATCGCACAAAACACGCAACCAGGTAGGTAAGGAGCCTTTCGCACTTCTTCTCCCCCGGCTGGGTGGGGACGGGGGGGACGCGGGGTGACCCCCCACCCCAGGGATGCTGGGGGGTGACGCCGACCCCGGGCCGACGCGGGGCTCTGCTCCTCTCCGCAGGTTCTTCCCGGCGATAAGTTGTAGCCCGCGGGGGACCGAGCGCCGGCAGGATGGCACGGGGCGCCCGGCGCCCACCCGGGACCGCCCGCGCCCGCCCCGGCCCCGCCGCGGGGGCACCGGGAGGCGGCCGGGGCGCAGCGCGGCCCCGCAGCCCTGGGGGACGGGGTGGGCTGAGGTTGGGGGGCCGGGCTGGCCCAGCCCCGGGGGCTCCGTGGGACCCTGCGGCAGCGAGGGGACCCCCCAGCCCTGCCCGGCCGGGGGAGGCACGGAGGCTTTGCCCCGCCAGCCCCTGGGATGAAAGGGGCGGCGGGGGCTTCCCGGGTGACCCCCCCTCGCCGCAGTTCTCCCCGGGAAGCGATTTTGGCCTTTTTCTCGCCAGGGTCCCACGTGCGAGTGCGCGGAGGGGTCCGTCCCCAGGGAGCCACGCGGGCTGATTGGAGGCTGCTGGGGTTTGCCCGGTGCCTGCTCCAGTTTTGATTCAAACCAGCCTTATTTTGGTTCCATTTCAGTCAATTAGGAACAGATTTAAGCTTAATGCCAATAAACCTCTGAAACCCCACCGGGGTCTGCGTCAGCGGAGCGGCAGCGCTGCGCGGGGACGGGGATGCAGCGGGCAGCCAAATGGGGCCCGTGGCCCTTGTCACCCCATCCCGGGGCTCCCAGGGGACCCAGCCAAGGCGCAGGGGGTGGCACTGGGGCAGCGGGGGCCACGTGAACCCTTGGGATCACAGCACTCAGGCCAGCTCTGTGGGGACAGGTTTATTTGGGGTGAGCCTAGAAAAAGCGCGTGTGGAGCACCGGAGCTGCAGCGGGGCTGGGGGCACAGCCGGTCTCCAAGATGTGGTTTTGGGGGGGCTGCTGCCCATGGGACTCCAGCTGGCAGCAGGGACAGTGCCCAGCTCGATGGGAGCCAAGCACGGCAGCCCCTTGGCACTGCAGGGTGTGGTTTGCCTTTGGCACAGCCCCGGCACTGCCGGGAAGGGGAACCAGCCCCACGCCGGACCCCTCTGCTGGGGGATACTCAGGATTTAGGGGGAGCCCACTTGTCCCAGAGGGAGCTTGCCCACCCCTTCCAGCCTGTGCTCCAGAAAAGGGGCGCAGAGGACAATGCCCACCTTGCCAAGGTGCACCGGGAGCGGGTGGGGGATGAGCGGGGCCCCCGTTCCACCGGCCCGGCCCCTCCAGCCGTTCCCACGGGGACACCCATCACTCAACTTCTTCTGAATCGTACTTCAGGTCCTGGAGAATTTCGCTGATTGCCTCAATGGTTTTAATTAGCCTACGAGAGCGGATGGAAACTATAAATAAAGCCCATATGGAGCGTATTATGTGGGCCGCCTCGCCTTCCCCGCGCTGTTTATGAAACACTCAGCCTGGGGAGGCCGAGGGGACGCGGCCACGCAGCGCCGCCAGACCCCGAAGGCACCATCTGGGCCCCCCTGGGCCGCAGGGAGGGCGGGGGAACGCAGGGAAGGGGCTCCTGGCCTGGGCTCCGTGATCCGTGTGCATCCCCTCCAACCCGGGACACCCCAGGAGTGAGCGGGCTGGGGAGGGGGTGCCACCCCAAAACGGGGGGAGAAGGGGATGGCATGGGGGTTCTAGCCTAGGGGGATGCTGCCTTCCCAAAATGAGGGGGGACAGCAGCAAAGCCACCACCTACTTGTGCTTGAGCTCCCGCACCTCCTGCTGATGGGCGTCCACCTCGGGCTGCTCCTGTGCCTGCTGCTGGGCCAGCTGCAGCCGCGCCGTCTGCGGGGGGACACCATGGGAGCGGAGACCCCCCAAAGCAGCCCCAGCACTGCCCCAGGGAGCCCCCCCAGCCCAGCACCCACCAGCTGCAGCTTCTCCTGCTCCCGCTCCTGGAGCCGGGCCAGGTGCTGGGCCAGCTCGGGGCGGCCGAGCTCGTCCCGCAGGCGGCCGGCGATGCCCAGCACCTCCCGGGAGATGCCGCTGAAGGCCACCGTGACCTCGTGCACCAGCTGCCGGTAACGCGGGAAGTCATAGTGGGGGGCACTGCTCAGGTACGCCCGGTGGCCCCTGTGGACAGGTCATGGGGGGAAAAGCCACTGTCACCACACACAGGGAGCTCCCGGAGCTGAGCCCCCTCTGCCACCCGCCACAGGCAGCACCAGGAGGGTTTTCCTGCCCGCTCCTGCCTGGATTTGGCAGCATGAGCAGGCAGCCTCAGCCCTCACACGGGACAGCGTTGGAAACTGCTTTTTTGGGGGGGGGAAAGTTGGGGGTTTGGTTTTTTTTCATCCTTTACACTCTCAGCCCTGCATCCCAGGAAGTCCATCATCTGCTGGATGCTCAAATAGGATTCAGGTGTCCAGCGCAGAGTCCCGCTGCCAGCTGGAGCTCATCAGCCCTCCCCATGGCCCCGTCCCAACAGGATGCAAAATAATCGGGATGGGGGATCCGGTTCCCTGCTGGGGGTGCCCCGTGTCCCGCCCGCCCCGGTGGGTGCCGCCCCCCGGGAGCCCATCCCGGTGCCGGTACTCACTCCTCGAAGAGCCGATAGGTCTCGACCCGCTCGCTCTGCAGTGCCCGCAGCCGCTGCAGCAGCTCCCGCACGGCCTCGCCCGTCTGCGGGACAGAGGGGACGGGCGCTGGGGGACGCGGGGGCACCGGTCACCCGGTAACGGGCTCCGGGCACAGCCGGTACCGCCCAGAGGGATCACCCCGGTGCTGCGGCAACGCGTCCTCGCCCAGCACCTGGTGCTGGGGGTCCCGGGTGGGTTCCGGCCGCGGTGCTTGAGCTGAGCCCAGCACCGGCACCGGGACCCGCCCGTCACGCACCGGGAGCCCCCCGGCCCTGTGCACACAACACAGACGGGCACCGGGACCCCTCATATCCCCCTGCCCACCCACCGGGCCCCCAGGCCACTCATGCACGAACCGAACTGACACCGGGATCCCCCAGACACGTGCCCGCGATACCGACGGGCACCGGAACCCCCGTCCCGTCCATGTGCGCATCGGGACCCCGGTCTACGTTTGCCCGGACCGGTACCGGGATCCCCGGCCATGCTCACACAACCCAGACGGGCACCGGGACCTCTCCGGCCCCGGGATGTCCCCACCCCGCTGCAAACGCACCGGGAGCCCCCGGCCACGTGTCCACGGAGCGGCACCGGGATCCCGGTTCACAGCACAGACGGGCACCGGGACCCGCACCCACGGCCCTGCCGTGCCCACGCGCGCACGGACCCGCTCGGTGCCGGGCCGCCCCTCCCGTTCCCGTTCCCGTCCCGCTCCCGGTGCCGCTCACCATGGCCCGGCCCGGCCGCACGGCGCAGGCCCGGGCCCGCGGGGCGGAGCGCGGTTCCGCCGCCACCTGCAGGCACCGACCGGCAGCGCCGCCAGCCCCGGGCCCGGCCCCGGCCCCGTGCGGCCGTCCGTGCCGGGAGCGCACGGCCGGGGCCCGGTGACGCCGAGCGGGATGCAGCGGGGGCTCCGTGAACAGCGGGTCCCGGTGCCCGTCCCGGTGCCCGTCCCTGGACACGCGGCCGGGGCCTCCCGGTGCGTTTGCAGCGTAATGGGGAGAGCCCAGGACGGAGCCGGTCCCATGTACGCCTGGCCGGGGGTCCCAGGGGTGGTGAGGGGGGTCCCGGTGCCCATCAGACCCGGCAGTAGTGACCAGAGGGCTCCCAGTGCACGTCAGGGGCGTGTCGGGGTGCTGGGGACAGTCACCCCCCATGGCTCGGGGTGCACGAATAGGGGGGTTCGTGTGCGGTCGTGCTGCTGGTCCAGTCCCCGGCCGGGTCCCAGTGTCCATCTGTTGTGTGCACATGGCCAGGGGTCCCCACGGGTGGGCACGGGGGTCCCAGTGCTGGCCCAGTCCATGCACACATTGCCACCAGCACCACCACCTCCGTCCCTCCCCGTTCCCCCCCACCCTCTGTGCTGCTCCAGCACAGCCCCCCCTGCACTGAAAACCACGATTTGGGTAAAAACCACCAGAAAACGGAGCTGAGCATTGCAGTTCTTTATTAGCCAGCGCAGGCAGGGCTGGAGGCTCTACTTGACCTTCTTCTTGGGGCGCAGGTTGTTGGTGTGCCCGCACTTCTTCTTGCGGCAGTTGACGGCGCGGGGGTGCAGGCGGGCGTAGCACCTGGGGGGGACAGGTCAGCAGAGCCCTGGGGGGCTGCAGGAAGGGGGCGAGGGGACAGGGGAGGGGACACGGGGACATACTTGCGGCAGATCATCTTGTCGCAGTTGTACTTCTGGGCCAGCTGGCGCAGGGAGGGTTCGATGATTCCCCCTCGCAGGCGCAGCACCAGGTGCAGGGTGGACTCTGCAAGGAGAGATCGGTGTCACACCGGGGCAAAAGGAGCAGCTGGCACCTCAAAAACGACCCCCCTCTCCCCCAAAAAGCCCCGGGGTGCGGGGAGCACCTTTCTGGATGTTGTAGTCTGCGAGGGTGCGGCCATCCTCCAGCTGCTTCCCCGCGAAGATCAGGCGCTGCTGGTCGGGGGGGATCCCTGCGGGACACAAGCACCGTGCTGGGGACACCGGGGGACCCCCGCGGGGCCACCCCGCTCCTGCCGGCCCCGCCACTACCTTCTTTGTCCTGGATCTTGGCTTTCACGTTCTCGATGGTGTCATTGGGCTCCACCTCGAGGGTGATGGTTTTGCCCGTCAGGGTCTTCACGAAGATCTGCATCTCGGCACCTTCTCACCTGCGGCAGCGGCGGCCGCGTCACCCCGGGACGGCCCCGTTGTCGCCGTGTCCCGCCCCCGACCGGGTCCCGCCGCTCCCCGGCCCCTCCGAGCCGCCCAAAGCCCCGTCCCCGAGCGCCCCTCCCGGGATCCGCCCCGCTCTCCCGGGATCCAGCCCCCCCATCCCGGGATCCAGCCCCCCCATCCCGGGATCCAGCCCCCCCATCCCGGGATCCGCCCCCCATCCCGGGATCCAGCCCCCCCATCCCGGGATCCGCCCCGCTCCGGGATCCAGCGCCCATCCCGGGTTTCGGGGCCCTCCCGCGGGATCCAGTCCCGTCCCCGGGGACCCAGGGCCCCTGCCGGGATCCAGCCCCCATCCCGGATCCCGGTCCCCCTGCCGGGATCCCGGCCCCAGCCCTGCCCCGGGCCCGCTCCGGTCCCGCACCCCGCACACCCGCGGCCGCGCTGCTCAGGGAAAGGGAGGCGGGACCGGAACGGCGGCGGCGTCACCTCCGGCGGGGACACCGGCACCGCCCCGGGACCGCCCCGGCACCGCCTTGGTACCGCCCCGGTACCGCCCCGTCACCTCCGGCGGGGACACCGGCACCGCCCCGGGACCGCCCCGGCACCGCCCCGGCACCGCCCCGGGACCGCCCCGTCACCTCCGGCGGGGACACCGGCACCGCCCCGGGGCAGCTCTGTCACTGCCGGGGTGACCCCCCAACAGGACACTGCCCACAGCCCCTGGGACTGACCCCCAAATTTAACACTGCCCACAGCCCCTGGGACTGACCCCCAAACCCAACACTGCCCACAGCCCCTGGGACTGACCCCCAAATTTAACACTGCCCACAGCCCCTGGGACTGACCCCCAAACCCAACACTGCCCACAGCCCCTGGGACTGGCCCCCACTGACCCCATGGCCACAGGACTGGACCCCCAGTGCCAAGACCACGGCCACACTGACCCCACGGATCCCAGACCGGCCCCACAGCCCCAGAACCATCCCCATGCTGGCTCCACAAGCCCATGATGGGTCCCACAGCTGCAGCTCCAGGATCAGCTGCAAAACCCAGTCCTGCAGCCCCCCACTCTTCTCTCATCCCCTCCCAGGCCTCCAGGACCCCAAACCCCAGCAGTTCCTCCATCACACCACAGTGCTGGTGGAAAAGAAAGATCTGGACAGCTCCTGTTCCTGGGAGGTGCCCGTGGAGCAAGCAGGAGCACCGTGTGAGTGTGAGGAGCAAAGGGAAACACGGCTCTGGCTCATCCCAGCGGTGGGGAACTCACCAGCACAAGTCCATCAGCAGCAGGGACAGGCCCCTGGCACAGCTGGTGGGCACACAGAGCCTCAGAGACAGCATTTCTTACAAAACAAACACCTGTGCCCCAAAAACGGCTTTTCTGCACCAAAAAAAATCTACACCGATGAAGCGTAGCCGCTCTCCTGAGCGCAGGAAGGAGGGAGGACAAGAGGCATTTCCAACCAGGATTTACTGATTCCCTGAAGCCAGCGCTGGCTTTACACCCCAGCAGCAGTTTCCAGGCAGAAGGGCAGCGCCTTCCTCCCTCAGCTTCTCCCAGTTCCGCTTCCCTCTTCCCGAGGAAAAAAAAAAAATAACCAAAACCCAAAAAGCAAACCCGAAAGAGCGACACACAGCTATAAATAGAGGAGGAAAGTTCTCCAGGGCGGGACGTGGCTCCTAGTCCAGGCCGCTGGCCGTGTCCTCGTCTGTCAGACTCTGTCCGTTCACGGCCGGGCCCTCGTACTGGCCTTGGGATAAATCCTCAAAATCCTGGCTGGTGGTGGGGGAGATGACGTCGGGGCTGGTGTCACAGGACTCCGTGCTCTGCTCCGAGGTAGCGATGGTGGTCGTGGTGCTCTTGGGGACGGGGTCGAAGTCGTCGTCGTCCTCCAGGATGGGGGACTCGTGGATGTCTGAGAGGGAAGAGGGAGGGGTAAGGTTTGTGGTGGGGAGAGCAGTTCCCCAATTGTGCTCGGAGCAGGGATTAAAAAATAGCCAGCCAATCACCAGCGCCTAAATTAGCGGTTGTTTGCGATTTCCTGCAGCTGGGTTTAACGGAATTAATTTTTTTTTGATTTTTAGGGAAGCAGCTACATGCCAGCACATGGACTTCTGACTCCTGAGAGATGTCTTATGTGTTCTTGGGAACAGAGACTGCTCCCACAGGAGCAAAACTGACAAAGGGAATGGCTTCCCACTGCCAGAGGCAGGGATGGATGGGATTTTGGGATGGAATTCCTCCCTGGGACAGGGGGCAGGCCCTGGCAGAAGGTGCCCACAGAAGCTGTGGCTGCCCCTGGATCCCTGGCAGTGCCCAAGGACAGGCTGGACAGGGCTTGGAGCAGCCTGGGGCAGGGGAAGGTGTCCCTGCCATGGCAGGGGTGGCACCAGACAGGCTTTGAGGTCCCCTCCCAGCCCAAACCATTCCACAGCTCCGTGAATCTGCACGTCAGGAATCACTCACTGCTGAAAGCCTCTGGGTACTGCTTTGCCAACTTCCCTTTGAGCGTCCTGGGGAGGAGAGAACAATCCGAGTCCGTGGGGAGCTGAGGGAGCTGGAGCTGAGCTGCCCCACAGCTCCCAGCACCGTGGGCAATGCACACAAACCCCGAGGCTGAGGGATTCCCACCCCAAACCCCCAGAACAGCCCATCCCACCCTGCCCAGCACACGGGGTGGGTCTGAATCCCACGTTCTGTGACCACCCCAAGCAGAGTCCATCCCATCCCACCCCATCCCATCCCATCCCATCCCATCCCACCCCATCCCATCCCATCCCATCCCACCCCATCCCATCCCGACCAGGATCATGGAAACCCAAAGCTCCAACCTCCACGTGGCACTCGATCATGTATTTTCCCTTCCCCGACAGATTTTCCTTCTCACGGCCACCCAAACTCCGCCCTGTGCCCCGCTCTGACACCCCCCAGCGCCCCCCGGGCATTTCCCGGGCCGTTATCCCCCGTTCCGCACCGGATCCTCCGGAAGATGCTGTCCAGGTCCTTCTTCATCTCCACCAGGGTCCGGGTGTGGTGCACGAAGCGCTCGCTCATCTGCTGCATGCGCACGCTGGACAGGTTGTTGAAGTTGAGCAGCATCTCGTTGGTCTTCTCAAACCGATCCAACCTGCGCGGGGGAGGCAGAGGGAGCTCGGCAGAGATCCCGGCAGGCTCCCGGTGCCGGTACCGGCACTCCCACCGGCCGCTGCCCCCGGGACTCACATGTTCTTCTGGGCTAGGATGATGGCGTTGACGTCCTCGGCGTTGACCATGCCCAGCACCCTCCCGCAGAACACCTGCGAGGCCGTGGGCTCCATCGTGGCCTGCGGGACCGCGGGACCGGCTCAACCGGGGCCACCGGAGCCCCCCGCGCTCCCCGCACCGGTAACGGAGACCGCCCCCCCTTCCCCTCCGTGACAGCGGGACCCCCTCCGCCCTGCCATGCACCCAGCACCGGGTACCCCGCCGCCGTGCCGCCGTGCCCCCTCCCGGGGCGGCCACACACGCCGGTAACGGGGGTCCGCCGGTCCCGGTAGCGCCGCCAGCCCCGGGCTCCCTCGGGAACACGGGTGCCTGAGCTCCCACTGGTGTCCCCGGGGCCTCCTACCGGCACTGCCCGCGCACCTGCGGGAGCCCGTCCCGCCGCTTCACATGA